GATTTGAGATTTTGTACCTTCTGCTGGGTGGGGGGGGGCGGGAAGAAGAGACAAGTGTGAAGAAGAACCGTAACTTTTTTGCAACACTAAACATGACACTGATGAACCACGCGAGCGTACTCTCACCTGTCCCAACTGACGTCGTAGACTTCACAGGAGGGGAGGTGTGTCCCGTTGTATCCGCCAAATACACCAATCAGCGTCTTCTCACCGCCTGCTCTTACGGCTGTGGCTGCGTGAGTGCAGCGTGGAATGGAGAGAGGTGCCTGGTCTCTCCAGCGCCGTTCTCTTACAAGGAACTTTTTGACAGTTGCTAAGGAAGACTGTTGCGGCGTCCATCCCCCAATCACAAAAACATTCTCTGCAATGGAGGTCAAAAGATAAATGCATAAAATGCGCGGATCAGAGTCAGAGGAGAATTTATAAAAAAACAACTGCAGTTCCGTTTTTTATAGGACGAACATCGATTGTAGCTACCTAGCATAATGAGTGCACTAGGATCATCATCTATTTGCATTTTAGGACGGCGATAAATACATCTCTAGGTTGAGTAATCGGTGATGGCAGTGACAAACATATCGTGGAAATTGGGCCAGAGTTAGAAACATTACCTCGATAATTTCTGATTTAAAAAATGCACGGAAGGTTGGACAAATCAAGCACTTAAAGCTCACATGCCTAGACAATATATAATACCAATTTTACCGACAGGTTATTGGACGGTAGTTGTTTTTTTAAAAAGAACCAGCATTACGTGATGACAGCTGTGTTACACTTCTGCAAAAATATGCATAAATTTAATCTGAGGAAGGTGTGACACACTCAGGCAACTCACCACCGTTGACAGTGTAGGAGGCGTGCTTGCGCATCTCCATGTCAGCGACTTTCTCTGCCGTGCGTAGGTCGGAATCGAAGCAGAGGACAGACCACCTACCCTGATCTGCATCCTCTCCAAAGACGAAGATATTGGTCTGAGTGATCTGGGATAGTCTCGTCCGAGGGTTAAATGGACACGGTGACTTGACCTTTTCAGGAAAGATCATCCACTGTTCAACCTGGAGCATAAGCAAACTTCCATAATACCACTGCAATTTAAATGAAACATACTTACCCACACTGGTTAGGTGTCTTGAATATTTGATGACTGTCCACAAGGTGCTTGCGGAATTGGGGCGTCGTCTGACACCAACGCACCTCCTTCAACATCGCCGGTGCGTTTAACTCCAGCCTCTTTTGGTCAACCTCTTCGCTCGGGCACACCCACCGGGAAATTGCCGCAAAAACTTCTTCCTCGGAATTAACTGGCAAATCGTCTTTTTGCAACAGGCTGATCACCGTGTCAGCCGGCAGGCAAACGAAGAGCTCGCTTTGGACGAAACCTTGAAACTGACTTTGCATCAGATTGATGCAACCCTGCATGAGTGGTGCACTGTTTAAAGATTTGGCAAAATCCCATGCGGTCGCCAGGGTGTCTAACGTGAGTCTATAGAGCGGACAGTTTGACAGGAAGGGTTGAGAAATACTTACCCCTTAGCCAAGAATGTCGCTCCCCAGTTCTCCAAGACTGGGAGATTCATCATTCTAGCGAGCAAAGCTATGCCTCTCACATTCGCTTGGGTCATTTCAATCTGTCCGGTATACACATACTTAATGAGTGTAGTTGCTATGCTAGAATAGGCAGTTGCAGAAAGAAAAATAAAAAGGGTCGACGGCAGGTTTACCTCAGAGGCACTGTCGGCCATCTTAGGACTGAATTATCTTCATTGCGTTGGCCACTAAGAGATGCCCGCAAAGAAGGGATGCGAGCTGCGAGAATTATTCGGTGGGCATGGAGCACAACACCATCTTGAACCTAACACGCACAGGCAAATATTCACATAAAGAGGGCTAACAGCAACTTAGGTTACCTCAATCCTAAGGTCCTTGATTTCCTCTGCAACACGAATTTCGTTTAATGCAGCACAGCTGCGAACTAGCGGAAATTCGTCCTCAAATACTTGCGAGTCTGCGACGGCCATTTGGAGAAGAATCGAAGTCAGGGGCGGTGAAGAGTTGAAAGCGCCGTGAACGTTATTTTATTCTGCCGGCCCTTGCTCATGCACTGGTGGTCAGCGGATTCTGATTGGTTATTTACAGCCAATAAGCACTGACACATTTACGGAGACGTATATTTCAGCAAAGTGCCACGGGCTTTTCATTGGGCAAGACTGGGCTGACTAGACGCCGTTGAGGGCGCACGGTGAGTGCCAAGTAGGCTGTGTGTGCCCCGTCAGCAAGAAGCAAGCTGTGGAGGCGGGACTTGCAGCGTAGGCGGTAGATTGCGGTTGTGTTAATGAACGCGGCTTGGTCGACCAAATAACCAGGGAAAAAGAAACAGTTAGGATAGCAAAGATGGATTTTGACAGACCTGTGTAAACTCCGCTCCTCGATGCGCTGATAGACCACCCAGATAATTGTCTTGCACACTACTTACCAAGACACAACGTTATGCGGAACATCATTCTTACTGTGGATAAAATCGGTCACACGTTGCCCAGGCATAAGCTCATGACCTCGAAATTACAGGGCTCTTTAAAGATCCTAACCGACAACGCGTGCACGCAAGGTGATTAGCAATTTGTGACCTTGATCCACGTACAGTTAGGACAAATCATTATGGACCATAAGGAATGCAGTGCTGGCGCTATAGCAGACATTCCTGCTACTTATGGTTGTATTCATAGACTGATTACTGCGGAATTAATACGCAGAACGCTGCTACCAGGCAGGCGACCGTTGTATCATTGGAGTTCAAGAATACGACGTACGCAAACAATACATCCGTAAAAGTTTGGTTATGTTGGCTCAGTTGCCTATTATTCTGTGGAAGAAAAACTAAAATGGCAAGGGTGGGTCCACCAGAGAATACAGTAGAATTCTCGATTATCGCGCTGACCGAAAAAAGGTTTGCCAGTGGACAGCTTTTACACATCCACGTACGTGAGCTCACCTATGGCATATATTTAAATTAATGAAAAATTACCAGAAAGTCCGAAAGCAACGTGAATGCATTCAACCAAAAATGCAACAAGCTATTCTGTTCAGAAGAAGGAGATGCGACCATTGGAACAAGAGCTTTATTGTCCTGCCGTTTCGGATGCCGTTGGGAATCCTTAATCATAGGTAATAGTACAATAGTCTGAGTCTGCGCATTGCTCAGAGTTTTGTACCATTACGTATGATTAAGGACTCCTGACGGAATCCGCAACGACAGGATAATAAAACTCTTGTTCCAGTGGTTGCAGCTTCTTCTTCTGAAATGCTTCCTGGAACTCGCATATTCACCTCTATTGGCAATTTATGTTGTGTTGAGGGAGGAAGGCGTTATTTCAGTAACTTCTCAATTTTTTGGTTTCTTCCATTACATATTCCCAAGATTTAGCCTGCAGTTAAAATTTGGCATAAATTAAGGTAAGTTAAATCTGGTCATAGATTACAACCGTTGCTTTTGAAAAATTAATAATCATGCTTTTTATTTCATTGTCCGGGAAGCCGTCAATTATGGGAAGAGGATTTTACCTGATTTCGCAAACGAGGTGCGTTCCAACTCTTCTTAATGCTGAATTAAGAAGCTTCAGGCATCCAATTATGCTGTATATGATAAACGACATACCGGCAAAATGTTGTGCAGATATAAATCTGGACAATTTTTTTTTTCAAATTTACCTATGCCAAGGATGCAACAGTCCATTACTCGATTGCGTTATCGTCACTTCGGATAAGCATCAACTTAACTCTTCGCATCGATAAGCTCAGTGGTCTTTGATAATATCCGCGCACGTTATTCATGCATCAATTTGCCCGCCTTACTAATACATTTATCCAGTCAGCGCAATAGTCAACACAGGCCAATAGATGAAATGGCAAGGGTTTTCTTGGTAGCGACGAAAGTTCTTATTTATATTTGCATGCCTACTCAATGAATTTATGTTAGGGTTAGGGTTGGGGTTAGGGGTAGGGTTAGGGTAAGGGTTAGGTTTAGGGTGGGATAGAGATATCGTATGTAAAAAGGCCCAGGTTTCTGTCTTACATGAAGCGTGGGAGTAGGCATGTAAATGTAAATAAGAACATTCGTCGCCACCAAGGGAACCCTTGCCGATGAAACTTTATATGAGTAAAACTAGTCCTAAATCTGCTATAGTTGTTAAAACGGCAGTGCACGGTCTTTTCCAAAATTCAAAATGGACGAATTGGGTTGTTCTTTTTAGCTATATTGCATATGGATTATAGCCCTGTACGCATAAAACTACATATATTTATCCGCTTTTCCTTTTTATCTCTTTCGTTCCTCTTCTGATGTCTGGTAAGCCCATGGTTTTTATGATTTTCGATGGCTGTCTGGGTGCTCATTTATAGTGTTACATTACCCCACATTATTCCAATTATTCTAACGCAACAATTGCTATTGAATCTCCATATGGACACTGAAACAGCAAATTGTAACAAAAACATGAACGTGTCGAACATATCCATTCGTAATTTTGTACACAGCTCTTGTCGATAAGTAAAGCCAGATTTGGACGGTGGACTTGTGAAGAGCTTCGATTTCTCAGGATACTAAAATGATTATTCGAATGCTTGCTGCTGTTAGCTGAGGCCACACCGTCTGCAGCAAAACAACCTCGCTGCGCCACCTACTGATGCCTAACGCCCACTACCTCTATGAAGAGCGCCGTTACAGTTAGCACTTTCGAGCTGCACGCTTCCTACACCACGTCGGCTGCGCATGCAGATATCGATCGCCCTTGACAGAGCCCAACACTCAAACACCTGCTTATTCAAGTAGCCGACGTTCAAAACGAGTAGAAATAGATTTTGACTGCCGTGGAGACAATGGCGTCAAAATGATTTCAGTACGGCGACTTGTGTAAGGCGTGCCTATACGCGTCGTGCTTCGGCGCCACCAATACGACCAGAATGACGACGGACATAAAACGACATGTCTGTTCAAAAACACCGTACACAGTCATCTCAAAAAAAATTGTTGATACCGCCCTCACTTTGCGTTCGGGGGACAGACTACGACGTAATGTGTGATGCCGGGTTTTGCTGTATATATCCGCAATTACCAATCAGACAGACCAAAGTAAATTTCGTGTGATGGGTTCTGCTCGTGTATGAATAGCTTGCTAGAGAGGTTGAGGGTTATGCGTTTATATCAACATAATCGGGGCGTTCACCATGCATAAAGTTCATACTAAGTCAGAAGTATTAAAATAAAAGTCTAGCGAAGCTGTTGGCGTCCTTTTTGCGTTTTCATTAAATTGAAAGCATACCTGCACTTATTTTGATAGCAAAAGTAGCTTATGTATGTCCACTCATTCCCCTAGTCCCACCATTTTGTCCTGCAAAAACGGTGGTTATAGAATTTTCGA